TTCTTGAGCGAGAACTTCTGCTTCCTTTTTTCGATCATACAGTCACTTGCGTACTTTCACAACTTCGTTGTCTGCTTCTTCAAACTTCGCGTCCAGGTGGTCGTCCCACGTTTGAATCTCGGTGATCTCCTCTTTGGCCGCTAATGTTTTGGCTTCTACGTGGAGTCGCATCCGATCAATTTCTGCTGTTATGGCCCTAAGGCTCGCAAGCTGCCTCTCAATTGCTTCGGGCTTCCCTGCTTCTAAAACGGCTTTCGTCTTTGCCACTGTCATGTCGAGTTACGTAACTTTGATTTCCAAAGTTTCCACTGTCACCTCCATATCGTCGAGAAAATTCAGGAAGCAAAATTATACTCACTCAATTTGGTCCTAACTGTTTTCCTTCAGAATTGTCCCGTCGGAGGTGCCAAGTTTCGTAAACTTTGCCCTGTTTACTAAGGATAGAATCCTAACGAACTAAACTCAATCAATAGACTCGATTAAGCTCGACTGTTTAATTTCGGAGTTTATTTCTAATGATTGGCTCATTTCCAATTCACGTGGCACGTCACGCACTGTTTGATCTTTGTGCGTGATTCTTCGTGAACTTTATCACCAACGAAGTATGGATCGCAGTGGTGACAGTATCAAAGTGGTATCTTTTGTGCGTTGCTATCATGCTTATATGGACATATGGGAACCTGAGTTTGGCGAGAAAAGACAACTTAAGCGTGAACCAAACAACATCGAAGATGTGCTGTGGCTGTAGTGCGAGAGAAAGCTGGTATCGCAGGAAATGCAGACCACACAGAGCGCAAGATTGATGTTCATCCAAACCAAGCGACAGCTAATGATGAAGTTACTGAAAATGTACCAAGATTAAGGGCGTGTGCGGTGACAAAATCTTTGAAGCGAGGAACAAACTCTGGGCATTTAGAAGTGATTGGAAAAAAAGTTAACAGAGGGACAGGATATGGTTTCGAGATACCTTGTGTCTATCAATTTACTGGCGACAGGAGTTCGTGCAAATGGCTTAAGCAAAGACTGAAAATTGCGGCAATGAAGTCCAATTTTGATATGACATGTGCCAGAGCGCATTTTCTTTTAATTTCCCGATTATGTACCACAGTAATCCAAATGTAATCCAAAGTTTGAAAATATAAATGCATATAGCTTTCAATAGATCAAGAGGACGTGACCTGGAAACCCATCAAAGTGCATTGTAAGCTGTGGTGTGATATCAAGCTGTTTTGCTTGTGCGACTTGTTCTGATATCGCAAACAAGAGGTCAGGGGGAAAACGCGGAGTGCGGAGTGTTGAAAATGCGGAGTGTGGAAATAGGTAATCAATTATTAATATTATTAATATAATTATATTAATAATCCGTCCAAGCCATGCATCATTGCATTTTCATTGCTAAATCGTACAATCCTACAGTGTTTTCTGTAGACATAGAGAACTGTAACGAAAAGGTAAATAAAATAATTCAATGCTTGTAGAATTATTGCGAATAAAACGACATTCACAATCAGTCCAAAGGCTTTTAGCATTTCCCTCTGGCCTTCGTCAAGGGAGTGGTAGGTGCTGAGGTCGATATGTACACGGCCGTCAAAAACAGGGTTTTTTCTCATGATATGTACAGGACCGGGATGGTAATAAGTGTTGGCAAAGTCTGCGCTGTGCACCAACGCTCCTGTGCTCTCGTCCTTGCGTACCACCCGATGGTCGAAGTGCTTGACCACGGTGTTGTGTGGTGGCTGACGAAATTTTTCGGAAAAATTGTCGCCGCAACCATAGCATTTTTTCATACTTTTCGGCAAGGCCACGCGGTAATATGAATGCGGCGACAATCCCGAGTGCCACGCTCCTGCTGCTGCCGATGGTCCTGATGGAATAGACAAGGACCGATGAGGGGGTGCCGCTTGGAAACGAGCTTGTGGTGTGTGAGCTTGAAATGTTGACGCGTATGGATGATGAAAACGTCCTCCATGGAAAGGAAAGCCTGGTGGATTATACACAGCTGGGTACAATTGACTCAGCTGTGCTTGATGAGTGGCAACACTTGGCTGGCACGGTGCGAGAAACAATTCATGTAATTATGCAACATCCGGGTAGTTTTCACATTCATTTGCCCCAATACTTGGCGCGGGTGGCAAGGGGTTTCGTGGGAGCGCCATACTGGTTGTTTGTTTGCAGCGTCTGCTTCTTGGCTGTCGTTCTACCTTCCTGCCTCTTCCAGCTGGCATTCCAAAGGTGATGACTTTGCTGTAGTTAAGCCTACCAGTCTTACGCTTGTTAGCCACCAGCCACTTCAAATATGCCTCAAGGGTTCCTCTTTTTAATGACGCAGCGACAGCATGAGCACGCAAATAGGACGCGGAGTACCCTTGGCAGTCCTTACAGGCTACCTTTCCGTTAGGTTACACGACGATTATTGTAAACTTCGAGACGTAATTTCTTGATTCCTTTTATTGATTCGTACTTACTACAACAACATCTAATTCGTATCGTAAAAACCTAAACTTCGTAACTTCGCATAACCACTCGTCTTCGCTTCGAAAAGGTACCGATCAAAGTCTATTATGTACATGTGATTATATTACTTGGCTCGCGTGTCCGTCAATCAACAAAATCACTTCTGCACTGTACAAACCAAACAATATATCTCGTTACGTAATTGTTCTCGCGTGGGACGTCTCAATGTTTCTTACAACAATGATATGCGGCTTCGTGGGCTTTGATTTTGAGGGAATGATGAGGGTGTCTTATGCTGAGGCTGCCAGTAACTCTGTTACTTTTCCTTCCTTTAACAATGCTTCTCCTTTGTGCGCAATGAGCTATAAAACGTCTGGGGTAATCCAGTCTAACTCAGCAGAAAGAATCTGCTAGAAAACAGCAGACTCGCCTTCCACTAACGTTTTGTTCACAGAGGCTACACTGTTAGGAGAAGTTTCTTGAAGACCAAGGTGGTGAACGCGCGAGAGGGCTTCTTTTCTCTGGTCGTTTGTCATCTTGGCCCATTTGTCGCCTGTGACAACTAGGTGGCAGAACTCTGGACGAAGTTGGTACTCTCCTTTGTTCAATACAGCCAACTCCATTTCTTGCCCCAGGCTATTCACTAATTTCTTGAGGGTCTTTACTAGGGTGTATTCGTCAATTTTGGCAGTTCCGCGTTCACCCTTTACGCAGTCCTGAAGGACACCGTTTTTGCGTTCAGATCGATTGGTTGTGAATTTGTCTGGTGGGCAACCGAGGCCAGCTCTCTGACGGACGGGACTAATAACGCTGCGTATGAATCCTTCGGTTTTTTTCAAGCCAAACCAAGCGTGGAAGGCTTTTCCATTTGAGTGGAGCGATGATCACTTTCCTCCAGACTTTCAAATAGGCCAATAAATTGTTCTGCACTTCCTGCTTCTGACAGTCCACTCTCAAAAATGCTGCCTATCTTTCTTCCAAAAATATTATCCATTATACTCTGCTTGCTCTCTCCTTTAATGTCCATAGACACAACGTTTGTGTCTATATTTTTGTGAAGGTGGATTTCGCAAAGCAGATGAGTAGCTCTTTCGTAGGTTTCGTTAAAACCCAACACCTTTTCGTCATCTGTCCCGAAAGCCATTAGATTCTTCAGTTTCAAGAGACTTTGGTCCCACCAAAGAGCGAATACGTGGATTGTGTCTTCTTTTCGTGTAGAAGCACTGGGCCAATCATTGTTGGGTGTTTACCGTCTTCCCTGCGAAGACCTATGAGATGCTGGTATAAGATCGGTGTGACATTGTATGGACCAAAATCAAACGTTGGGTCCACGGTTAAAGGCCGATACTCCACCGGATTACAGCAGAATCGCTTCAGATCATCCAGCTATCTGTTCGTTCCCACGACGCAAAAAGGCTCAGCTCCAACTCTGACTCACAAATAAATGCAGTCTTTGGGTCCCTTCCTTGGATCTTGCTCTCATTTACTAACATATACCACGGGTCAGAGGGTCTTCCTGCGCCTGACATGTTTTTAGGGTAACTTCCTTTGCTGATAGCTTTACGCCTTGCCATATCTTTTACTTGCTGTCGATTTCGCGGGACCTGACCTAATCCCACACAGGATTGTAGACCACCAAGGCCATCTGTTTATTACGTGATAGAGGGCTTCTTTAGGTTTCATTGCCCCTGCGACAATTTTCAGCTGATCTCTTGTGCGAACATATGGCATCTTTTTTTTCTTGGAATTCCCTTGAGGCATTTTCGGAATAGGATGTTCCTGGCCACTCTTGAAGGTGTACTGTACAAGACAGTATCTGTGCAGTTGTCCTCCAGGGACTGCAACGAAAAATAAATAGTGAGACTACAGACATTTTCAATCCAGCACACTTTCAATGCACACTGGTTTACAGTACTCTACTTTCTGAAATGTATCATTTTTTATTAAGACGTTTGACTCCTGACAATATAAAAAATCTCCCTTAAACTTAAGTCCATACAAGTGATGGAGAGGTTACAGAGGAGAACTAAAAAAAAAGGTTGTCGCGCCTAAATCAAGTTTCCATGAACGGCAGAGACAGCCCCTAGGGTTATTTATATAAAAAATGTTTTTATACATTATTTTTTACAGTCATATACCTTTCCATTACATTCGCAGCTTTTTATACCTCAAATAAATGCTTTAGGGGCTTAGGTAAAACTCCACCTTGAAAACCCGGCGTTTAATCGAGAAATACGAAATATATGATTTTAAATAGAGATCGTTTTAAAACGACATGTTGTGTAAGTTATAGTACAGATTAATATTATTATTATATCACAGATTAATATTACAGATTAACGACTACCGTCCAAAAAATATTTATATTTCACTCACGGAAAAGGATATCGATCCTCTTTTAAGTCGTTGTCGTGTTTCAGCATGTAGTATTCCCTCTTTAATGTTGCCACATCTGGGTCGCTTGACCCCGCTCAGTTACTTGAGCAGAATTGTCATCCATCCATTCTACGCTATAATATAATTTTTCGTTGCTGTTATTTCTCCAGTTTCCCACGTCGTCGCACTTGACGTCTTGTGTTGATGGAAGAGCTTCAGGATCTACTACTGTGTGAAATAAAGCGTATTGCGGTGCTGAAATCATACGATACGGACCCGTATTCTTCGAGAATACGGACATACCCGGACGTACCGTGTTCCAAGACACGCGACGTGTCCACCGAGTGTCAGGAACTTTATTCGTTCCGATTCGGACTTAACCCGTGGTATGGAAAATCCGATGTCAGGATACCTCATTGAAACGCGGCGTGTGGAGACCCGGAAATTTCCTTATACTTTCAGATTTGCCGCAAATAATGGCGTACCGTATACGAGCGCGCGGTCAGTAAAATTGCGTCTTTTTTTCGTGTCTTTCTTAAAAATTGTCTTTTCCACTTTGAGAACAGTTTCACTGGGTATTCTTGTCCCGAAATTCCACGGTACTAGACGAATCGATCTGCACTCTGGAACCCGATTTTCCTCATTTTTTCCCACGATACGACGAGAATCGCGTAGTATTCAAGAACCCGAAATTCCACGGTACTAGACAAATTGGTCTGTATTCTAGATTTTGATATTCCACGGTACGAGAAATTTCACTCGGAATTCTTGATCCACACATACTATCAGGTTTTCTTGGAAAAGCAACGAATTCTCCCGATAATTTTGCACCCTCTTACTAGTGTGTTCTTTCACAGAAGTACCTTGTGCCTTGATTACCTTGGATTCCCCTTCCCTACCAACGATTTATAAACACATATTTCACAACTAAGAAAAAACTTTATTGGACAACAAAATTGTCAAATATTGCAAGACAAAATGCCTTCTCACAAACTTTGTTTGAGATAATTCTTGTACCCTTGCAATAACATTCTTAAACGTTCTTAACCACTAATAAGTTACACATCATTCCAAAAAGTTACAAGATAAGGATATTTTGCTCAGAACCTTTACTCTAAAACAATAAATTATTTTAATATGTAATAAATAATCCTCAAAATGGCCAATTTACAGAATCTATTTCATCATGTGATGACTAACAACTAAGTCTAACATTATGCACAAAAAGGGAAAAAAACTTAGATTGTGTGTAATAATTAAATATACTAGGCTAAAAGTGCTTAATGCTTGAAATAGATGCAAGCAACATTTTCAATATCTACACAAATCATGACACCACGACAATAATTCTAGTATGATAAAAAGACATTTTTCCATCAGTCAGATGTGAAGACAAGAATAACAATAAGAAATGTATATACTTTAATATTAGAGAGTAATAAAATTTTATCAAAAACTACAATAAATTCTAAGCAAGTCATACCATGTTAACAACTTAGTGGCCTCTGGTTATTTAATGAGCTCGAAAGTGCCTGTTTAAAGCCAATTCTTCAACATAAAAGTTGTTTGAAGAGCATAATAATTCAAGAGGGTTGTTTGAAATCATTCCAATAAAATTAACTGTGGCATATCCAAAACTGTAGCATTCTTTACAAAAGTCTTCAGGAAATCCAATACTACTTCAACAATAAATGGAGTTGATCGCCACAAAATTCTATATTATTTAAGGATTCTTCCCATAGATTGAACTGTTTGCGATAGCTGGCAGATTATGTTCCAATCAAAGTGAGAGAGAGAGATAGACGAAACGGCACTTTTGTAACGTTGATGTGGCACTTTCGCAACGTTAAGTGGCACTTTTTCACCCCTCAAGTGACACTTTTGTAACTAGTGGCACAATTCTAACGTACTTTATGGCACTTTTCTAACTTCACGTGGCACTTTGTTAACCTTGCATGGCACTTTTGTACCATTGTGGCACTTTGGCACCTTTATGGCACTTTGGCAACTTTCATGTGCCACTTTGGGAAAGTCAGGGTTACATGTTATTATTTTTGTTATTATTTTCAGAACCTAACCTTCATAGTGTTGTCAAATCTGCAACCTCTTTTCATGGTTTACACACTTTATAATACACAGTAGGAATATCACAAAATGCTCAAATATAGAGTAAAACACAAAGTGCAGGAGAGAGGTTTGAATACCAAGAATTGGCATCATTTGTATGGCAATTTCACAACTCGTTATCGTTTTTATAACGCGCGCACCAGTGTCGTCTTATTGTTAAATAGTCATGAATGACATGGAAAGAATACAAGCTGAATTTGATTTTTTCTGGGTTGAAAAACGCGCCAACCACAGAATACAGCATTTTAAATGTGCCATGTTCAATATGAGTTTTAGGAAGAGGCTGGTAATAGTTCATAAAATTTCTGCTTAAAAATTGCAAGAAGACTACATCACTTTCTTTCTGATATTTCATCCTAACAGGAGATGTATCTTCGTGTATTGCGCTGAGTACCACCCACGACATTCAAGAACATTGAACTACAAGAGTCAATCTTCAAAAAGCAACATTTAATACAATATAAGACGACAAAAAGAACAAAAACAGTAACCTAGAACTGAATGAATGCAATGTTTCTTGTGCAAACTGTTTTTAACGATGATAACATAACGTAAACAAGTTGTTTATCAAAATATCAACCTGCAGCTGGCTCAACTAGGAGACACTCCAACGGAAACACATCTTCCTTAAGCAAGCCTCTTTATCAGTTAGTCCTCCACAATGTCTTTTGCAAAGGTAGTCACTGTTTCACTTAGTCCTCAATTGGCTTTTTTGCGTTTTATGTTTTAGTCCCCTTTTATTTCCGTGGGAAGTTTAGAATACAATATTCTCAATGTAAACAAATATTTTTTATCAGAATATCAATAAGAGGCTGGGAAAACTAGGAAACATTACTGAGGAAACATATCCTCCTTTTAAGTTTTTACAGTGCCGGAAATAATGTTGTGAAGGCAAGACGAGCTGCCAGAAAATTAAAGCTAGAATGCTTTCAACTTTGGATAAAATAAAGAACATTTTCACGCGTAGAAGCACAATTTGAGTCTGCAACATTTACCTCTCACATGGTAAGACTGAGAAACACTTGTGTATGCAGCAATATTTCCCAGTTTAGCCAGGCCTTTAAACAGCAACAAGCAAGAATTCTCAAGGTAAAAATTGAAACAGTATCAAACGCGAATCCTTTCGTTTCCTTCCATTTTTCTTCACAAATAACGTCTGTTGAACCTCAACCGAAGACTGTCATTCATATTGTCTTAGAATATGCAGTCCTTAAACAACCAGGACTAGGCCTGAAAATTAGACCATTCCCTCACTCGTAAGAAAACTTTGAAAATCTCGACATACTCCTAATTACACTGTAGAAACATTTAGCCAAGCCAATCTCAGCTTCACAGGAATCAGAGGAAAAACATGGTAGTAATTTCACTAACTTTTACACTGCTAAGAGAGAGTACATCTCTAATGCAAATTAAGAGTCAACAGGCACCTACAGTTTTGCTTTCTGTCGTAGTTTTTCTCTCTTCTGTTTTCGTTCATACTTCAGTCGGTTTACCACCTGAGTGACTGTGAAGGCGGTAACCATTTCTTTACCCTCGCTGTCGTTTTGCAATATTTGCGTTATTATGGGCTTTGAGATCGGGGAGCCATTAATCATATCTGAGAACAAACGAAGCAAAGTTTGAACATGGGTTGGACTAAATACGCCTGGCTTAGACGTTCCGGTAGTTTCTGTGGGGGAGACAACGTCGGAGGAATCAAAACTCTCTTCATCGTCTTCGTGCGTGTTAGATTCTTTGAACATTCTCTCGACACGGTCACTGACTGTTTCCTTTTCTGATGGCAAGGAAGCTGTTGATGGCTTGTTGTCTACTTGCGCTTTGTACCGCCACTGAGCCCGTATTTTGTCGTACATCTTCGTTGCATAGAATTGGATCCAGGCATATTTTTTCTCTGACAGTGGCGATAGATATACTTTGTGCATCGATCTCTGGACCAAACAGCTTCTTAATGGCATCCATCTTTTCTTCTAGGCTCTGACTGTTTCTCTTTTCGTTCGTCATTTCTTCTACGCTCCCAGTGTTGCTCTTTTCGTTCGTCATTTCTTCTACGCTCCCACTTTTGCTCTTTTCCTCCGTCTTTTCTTTTTATCTCTTCTCGTTACTCTTTTCTTCATTTCGCATCATGCCATGGAGAACCTGGGATGCCTTTACGGATAACCGGCTTTTATCAAGCACCCTATAGTGTTTTTCAGCCATGAGATCCTCCAAATTGCCACTGATTTCTTTACGGTTTTGGTGGCACTCGGAGACAGCACTCTTTCGGTAGAGTGTGTGGCTCATAGGGCCCTCGATCCCGGCTTTCTGGAAGATGGCTTGCAATGCTTTCGACATCTGACTTGATTTCATGTCATTTCCCCCCATTTGCATCGATCTCACTTGGCCCTGCAGTCGGCAGTTGTGAACGCATCTTTTCGAAGAAAATTTTTAGGTGTTTGTACAGGTGATTGGTTAACACAATTTGAGCTGGCCCATGAGTATTGACAGTTTTATGTTTAAGGACACGCACAACGTGTCTGTCATCCTGAGGTCTGGCTCTTTGAAACTCTTGAACAGTCATGTATGCCACGACTCCAGCTCTGTTTGCGTTGTCAATCATTATTTGCGAAATTAAGTAATCTCTTAATAACGTGTAATCAGCTTGGGTCATCACGCTGTACTGACCACCGCTGAGCTTGCCCAAAAGAATTATTGCTTCTCTGACAGCCTGGCTTCTGTTGAAGGCAGCGATTTTTTCTGGCGTTATGAGGACGCTGATATCTTCTTCCATTTTTTCCCACCTGCGCCGTGTATTGTCACGTTTATAAGAGCCCGACCAGTTCTTTAACTTTTCTCTAAGGCTGAGGACGTCATCTTTCTCGAATCTAACTGCACCGGGGTTTTCCCTTAGCAAAAATGAGCAGAAGTGTTGGAGGCTCATGAGAGAGGATTTTATTGTTGCAGGAGAGTATTTCACTTCAGCGTACTGACGAAGGAAGACATCTCGAATCTGTTTCGCGTCAAGCAATGATTGAAGGCAAGTACCCCCACCTATTATGGACAAAACATTTTTCACTTGGGCAACATGTTGCTTGGCAGTTTTCTGGTCTTTCTTCTCGCAGTCTGGGGAAATAAGCCAGTCTTCAAATTCTTGCATAGTCTCTGCTACAGCGTCAGCCAGAGGGTCTTCGGTGCTATCAAAGTTACCAGAACCATCAGCTTCTCCAGGCACATCAAGTGCGAGTTGGTCATCCTCGAGATCTTGTTCTGATGTTCGTGATGTGGTGTCAAATGAAGATAACCTGTTCTGATCATACTTATCACCGATGTTGCTTTCTCGTTCTGCTTTCATCCTCAGAAATATGTGGGGCTTCTTTCTAGATACCACTTTTGCGAGTGAGAGATACTTCTTGTACTTTCCATCATCACGCTTTAGCTCATGCTTTTGCTGCAAGTGCTGTGGAAGTCTCTCCGTCACTGTTGAGCAGCCTAGAACAGGGCATAATTTCTTCCTCTGGCACGGTTTTTTGCAGCTGACAGATGCAAAATCCTATGTAAATTTCCGTTGCTTTCTGTTTCCTGCTGAGGCAGTTTCTTTGCTAGAAAATGTATATTTCTTTCGCAACCCGAGTCTAGATGTAACGGTTTTGGCGGACGCTTTGGACCACTCGTGTACCTCTCTCATATGCCTTGGAAGATGACGAACTACACTGTTGCAATGTGGTAAGGGACACTTTTTCTTCTGTTTTCTATTGGATGTTTCACTTTGACCTTCACTCCCACTAGCATTTTTGTTCTTGTTCAACCCTGATATTAATCCATC